TAAATCTGGTTATCACTTGGGATTCATCTGCATTACATTCTACAAGGCAAAAGCATGTCCTAAGTGGCTATACCAGTCAATAGATCGTATTTGTATTACAAGGACTGTCTGATAGCCCACTACACGCAATAGAAAAATTCCCATTAACTTTAGTCAGCTTTGAACCAAGTCTGTAATGCCTAGCACATCACTACTTTATAGAAATTGCAAGTATCTTGTATTCATCTAGAGTTTGCACTTTCTATTGAAAAGGTTCCAAATGATCAATACAAATCTAGTTCCTAATGAAACCAAGGTACCTAAAATACACACTCTGAATATTAGCATGTTTCCTGAGTCAACTCAGGTTGACTACCAGGAGTTTACAGTGCATTTCTTGAGACAGCAAAGCAAACAATGATTAATACCAACTATTTTGCGAATACAGATTTTTCTCACGTGATGTAAACATCAGGAATAAAAGAAACAATAAGCAAAATAGTGACCACTCACAGATTAATATTAATGTATAAATTTATGTTTACATTTTACATTAATCTTATTTTAGTCAAAAGGCTTGTTGAGACAAGTGAAGTCATAAATTTGCAAGCATATTTTAACGAGTAGTTTTCAATGAAAAAAATGATAAAAACTAAAAAGTATCAGAAGCCTGGTTTTAGCAGGTCATAGGCTTGATCAACAACCTTTCACATCTAGGGCTAAGGATACGATTGTCATAATCTATATGTCCAAGACAAATAATTTTCATGTAACAACCTTATTATAATCCCAGGTTTTTAACAAAAACACACTCATGAACTAAAGTTGCATCTTTATATGAAAAGAACATCAATCTCCAATAGTTCAAATAAACCCCAAACCTACCTATGACAGTGTATTAGTTAAAATACTGAATATAAGACAAAATAAATTGCATTATGTCAACAGTTTTGTACTAGCCAGAACTCCTACTGCAAGTTTGTATGAGAACCTACTAACGCTCAGTGTAAAGGCAAATGTTTTGAATAATCATGTCCCATCCTACAAGAAGCCTGCATGGGGATGATAGCTGAGCTATATGAATCTAATTTACACAACTCTGAGATTTAACGAACTCTGCTAGGCCATATGGAATGACCTAGGGACTTAATTCAAGATTAAAGGCCTGATTCTCATTGCCTTCAGAATGCCAGCTGAAATTCTGAGGTCAATTGCACTGTCATTATAAGAGAGAGAAATTAGCTACCTCATTACCCTAGTAATGCTGATATTTCCATGGGGAGAGATGCTCTTACTTTGGCCAGCTCTTTCCAATAGGTCTTTTTCCTTTATGTTTATATTACAAAACACAGAGCTGGTTTTAAGATCACATTATGGAAGATATTCCACAGCTGCATACATATAAAGAGACACATACACACATATAAATATATATATACACACACACATATATAATTTGCTTGACCTCAAAAACTACATAGACAATTAGCTGACACTTTAGCCTATTAAATGGAATGCTGATATAAAACCAGTTTAGAACTACCAAACACTTCCAGCTGGTTGTACCTTTCTATGCCATCCACACCTTCAGAGCTGAAGTGACACACTTATTTTTTATAGTCATAATCACAGACATCTTACACAAAGCAAGAAATATTTATAAACATGGAGAAGTAACACATATAAGGAGCTGGTAGCTCTGATGGTAGAGAACAGCACTAGAACCAAGCAGCTCCCAGTTCCTCCCGGAGCTCTGGAGTGTGCAGCAGTATAAGCACAAGCTGGGTAAAAAAGGTACTGCCCAAGAACATGCTCTTCACTTTTGACATTTTTTATCTAACCAAGTATTACCTGACGTCATAGATTTATCAGGACATATCCTCACTAAAAGGAGAACAATCTTACCTGAGAAAATAACTACTGGTATTAAGTATACAACAGCATAGTTTAAAACTATACATGAAACAGGGACAATCTTCCAGCTCTTATAACAGCCTAGTACACAAAACGGTTCACTTGACACAGAAAAGCCCTTTCCAATAGATGGAGATTAGCCTATTCTTTAGAGTTCAACTACCTGTTACAATTAAAAGGTATTCAATTTTCATTACTGAATGGATTATAGTCTCGGAATAAGTATGTTCAATGCATTTTGCAAAAGTTTGAAAAAACTTAGGGTGAGGCAAATATCATTAGCCACTCACAAGTCCTCCTAGTAGATGACTTACCAATGACTTTTCCATTTCCAATAGTGCAACAGTCATGTAGGATCTACTTCTACATGAAACGGGCTATGACCCATGGGAAATAAGTATCTTCTGATTAAGGCACTCAATTGGCCATTCAGTGTTAGAATCCACAACAGATTCCCTCAGGGATTTTTAAAGAAATCAGGTTTTGTCTCCACACTTTGTATTTAAATAGCACTAGTACCTTCTACCTTCATTAGGACCTTACCTTTCTTTCTGTTGTTTGGCATGTATGTAAATAGTCTGCCAAAGGAAATGTCCCTTTTCTGGGGATTATACCAGACCCAGGCAAGGACTAAAATAAGTGATTTCTAGTCATCACTTAATGGTGAGGGATAAATAGCTACTGATTGAAGTATGCATCTGAAACAGGTCAACCTGAAGGACACAGACCCACATATTGAAAACATAAGAAATATGTTGGTGTAAATATTGGTTAAGTACACCAAAACACACAAACAAAGAAAGACCACGCAACAGATTCAAACAAACAAAAGAAATTATTGGGGGAAAATGGGTAGTCTTATCTTTACAAGTAAATCCACTCTTGCAAATGAGAAGCATTTTTCTGGAATACTTATTGCTTGTGTGCCCTTCTGCGGTTTCTCACAGGAACACAACTGTTCTCAACCTTGGGTTTTAGCAGCCAATATGAAACAACACAGCACTTTCAAGTCAGACTGAATGCTTGAGGCTCTGAGCTCCAAAGCAAATCTACACTTATGTATTTGATGCAAAGTGTGCTGGCAATCAAAAATGCTTAGGACACCATAAAAAGAACACCTGGCTGGTATCGTTACGGATGTAGCTGATTGCACGTTACATTCTAAAGAACAGAAATCCAGAGTCTGGAAAAAATATTACATTGTTAATATAACCTAGAAATTACTCACTACTACAGAGATCCTTGCACCAGGATCCCATTTTCTTCTGGCACTCAAAAAAGAAAATTCTGCCCTTTCTATTTATGCCCAGCAGCAACCAGTGCATTAATTTTAATTTTCTTAAGTAGTAACATTCTTACTATGGTTAAGTGTTTTAACAGTCGTCATATGTTCGACTCTAAAACAAATGTCTAGAAAGCTTGACAGATGGTGTTTTGAAGGATAATGCCAGGTACCTGGTGTGAATCTGACATTAGCATTCTCTCAGACAACTCACCTTCATCTTTTAAAAAATCCAGTGAAATAATGCATAGTCCTACTTAGGCCAAGAAGGAATGAGAAAATCGTTCATTTATTCAATCTCACAGTTGCTCAAAATGCAACTTCTACATGAACTTGATACCTAGAAAAAACAATTTTCTTTTCCTTTTACTTTTATTTGCCTACTTTCGGTTTTGTCCTTCCTGCATTTTCCTCCTTTCCCAGACACTCACACACACACTCTCAGAGGATACTTCCCCCCTCTGGGAAAAGACCGAACTGCAAGGTTCAAAAAATACATTCCTCTAAGAAATAAGGACTTAGTTTATGGTATGATTATAAGAAAAACAACTGTAAAAAGTAGCATGGCTGCCTCTTTAGCAGCAAGACAGCTATGACAAAACGGTACTAAATGGGTCTGTATTCATACTGAAATTCAGTATGAATTTTAAAGCTATCAAACAGAAGCACTCCAACAAAACCTGGACTCAGTATCTTCATTCACAATCAATAAAACATACATTAAGGAAAGACAATATAAAAACTGCTGACAGAGGAAAAACATTACTGCTTAGCATGGTAAATCTGAATTAGTTATGATTTTCTTTAAGTCATAAACAGAACTTGGGAAATTATTTGCCACCTCTGAGTTTATTTGAATGTGTGACTCTCAGGGGCCTGACCATATATTTCTTTGCTTTAATCTCTTTTAAAAGCTTAATAGGTTGTCTTGATTTATGCATCATTCTTTACTACTTCTTTTCAACATTAGGTTCCAAGTTTAACAGGGATTTTATAAAGACTATTAAATATCTAAGAAGAAAAACATGTATAAGAGGAACTTAAAGGATTACACTTTTGGCAAAAGTTAAAACTCCATACCACGAGGTCTTCACGCAACCACTATACTGAGCAATTATTACAAGAGAGACTAAATGATAAACTTTTTAAAGAACCTTTAGGCGAGGTCCAACTAAAACTCTACTCCAACTAAAGCAAGGAAAGGAGGGCGAGCTACAATGAGTATCCAAATGTTATAACCAGTGTATTCTGATCTCCGCACAAAACCAAGAGGAAATCATCATGTCCTGGATGAAACTGTCATGAAATTGATAAGCCATATCAAATCAATGTCTGACATCGCGCAGTCGACTAAAAACAGCGCCGCATTAACGGCATGATAGTATCACCATATAAACCTTATTACTTCAGCGTGGAAAACAGGATATAACGAATGCAATGAGACGCCAGCATCTGTCTTTGTGTAAGTGAGCCCGGGAAGCAGGGGAGCGCCTCCCGCACAGGCGACCCAGCCGCGGCAGCGCCGGCGCACGGCGGGGAGCGAGCGCGGGCGGCGGGGAGCGAGCGCGGGCGGCGGGGAGCGGGGCGCTCGCTGCGGCCGCCGGCGGCTGCTGCCGGACGGTCCCTGGCAAGGCTCCGGAGCGGCCCCGGGCGCCCGAGCCCCGAACCGCCGCCGCCCCGACCCCACGCGCGACCGGGTCCCGCCGCGGGCCGCTCCGCCGCCCACCGGCCCGGACACCCGAGTTCGCTCCCTGTCAGTCGGCCGGGGCCGCCAAGCCCACCCCGAGGAGCGCCCCGGCCGGGGGAGCGCGGCGCGGAGCCTCACCGTCTTCCAGGAGGCGCATCGCGTGAACAAAGCAGGGATCCAGGCTGTCCTTCTCGGCCATCAGCTCGGGCAGGTACTTGTCCTGCTCCATGGCCGCGGGCACGCCGGGCGGGCTGCGCGGGATGCCGGGCTCGCCGCTCCGCGCCCTCGGCCGCCCGCTCGCCGCTGGCCGCGCCGGGGCCGCCCCGCGGGTGCCGCCGCCCCTCGCGCGGCGGGCGCTGCCCCGGCCCCGCCTCCGCCTTCCCCTCGCGCCGCGCGGGGGCGGGCACGTGCGCGGGTCGCCGCGCGCCGCTGCTCGCGCGCCTTCGCCCCCCCGCCTCCTCCTCCCGCCACTGAGCGACCCGCGGCCACCCGCGCCCTTAAGTAGGGAGGCGGAGCCAGCCGGGCCCCGCCCCCGCCGCTCCCATTGGCGGCTCCGCCGCGCCGGGGGCAGACTCGCCGTGCCATTGGCTGTCGCCAGGCGGGGCCCGCGGCCGGCGGGCGTCCGCGGAGGTGTGTGCGCCTGCGTGTGTCTGTGTCTGTGTTGTGGTTTAGGACTGGTATTACCTAATTTATCGCTTCCACTAAAACCACGCTGCAGCTCGCTCTCCCCACCCTTTCCCCATTCCCCGTGGCAGGCTAGAGAGGAGGATTGGAGGAATCGAAGGTAAAGATCACGGGTTGGAATAAGAACAATTTACTGGAAACAGCAATAAGAAAATGAGCAGTAACAGCAATTATATTAAAAACAAAAGTGTTCGAGAGAGATAAGTGATTCTCATGCAAAATGCTTAGAATCGAGGTTACCTCACCGCACCCACCCCGCGCTTACTGAACCAGAAGGAACCCCTTTTTTAAGGAAGAGACTTCTTTCCCCCCTAAGTCCATCACCGGCAATGACCTGAGGTGATAGCGGAACAGCCTCTGGGTCCTGGCCATGTCCCCTCCCGGCTACGGCCAAAATTAACTCTGTCCAGGCAGGAACCAGGACAGTCTGTGCGTCTGTCACTGTGTGTGTGCTGTGTCTGTCTGTGTGTCTGTCTGCGTGCAGCTGTGTGTGCCAGTTTCTGCGTGCCAGCGCGAGTGCGTGTCCGTGAGTGGCGTCCGTGGTGCCGGTGCGCGCACGCGTGACCGTGTGCGGCTGTGCCGGTGCTGCGCCTGTGGGAGAGCGGGCACGTGTCCGTGTTTGTGTGTGAAACTGTGTGTGTTTGTGTGAAACTCCGTGTGTGCGTGAAACTGTGTGTGTGTGGGGGCGTGCACTTGTGTGAAGCTGTGCGCGCGTGTGTGAAACCGTGTGTGCGTGCGTGAAATTGCGTGTGTGTGTGTGTGTGTGAAACTGTGCGCGCCTGTGTGAGACTGTGTGTGTGAGAGAGAGCGGGCTGCGCGGGAGAGGCCGTGCTGCGGTGCTTTCTGTGAGCCTGGCGGTGGTGTCCGTGCCCCTGTGCCCGTTTGTCCACGCGTGTCTCAGCGTGCCTGTGCCGCCGGTGTCGCTGCGTGGGCCGCCCTGCCCGTGCACGCCGGTGATGTGCTGGCAGTGGCCGTGTCCCTGCGCGGGGCCGCGGCTCCGTGCCCGCCGTGAGCCGCCCGCCCGCCCTCCGGGCGCTGTCCTCGGTGCTGGAGCCGGGAGGCAGCGGCTCTGCCCGGCTCTCTCTCCCTTCCCTCCCCGGCGGTGCCTCCCCCGAGCTCCGCCGCGCTCCCCGGGCTTCTCGGCCCTCCGCGGTCCGGGGACACGCCTCGCTAAAGCGGTGCCGCATCGGCGGCGTGGCCGTGCTGGATCTGCCAGGCAGCTTCTCCCCTGAGGGTATGATGAGCATCAGCGGCCGGCCGCCGCTCACAGACCGCGCCGAAAATGTCTGCCCGTGCCTGCTGTGCGCAGCTGGAGAGGCGCAGCCGGGGCCCGGGGGTCCTGTGGAAAGGGCGATCTCTGTCGAGGAATGCCGTGCTGCAGCTCCCACGGCCACGCCTGACAGAATTAGAACTATTATGCAATTAAAGTGTCTACAGCTTGGGTAAATAAAATTTATTTTAATTAGAGTTTAGCTTTAAGTATACATTTACTTTAGGTTATATTTATTAAGGATTTTGCCCCAACAGACCATACAGGAATGTGTTTTGATTTCGAAAGTAAACAAATATGTCTAAGTCATCTCAACTCATTAAAATTCCATTTGTGGGACCTCAAGAACAAGCAGTCGATGGCACCATACAACATTTTGTGCTCAACCCCTATGTCACATTCTTAGTATGTACCACTAATACTACTATCTTAGTATTTATTCTAATGAAATAGACAGTTGTTGCAATAATACATTTGTGAATGGCCTAGTACTGTTCAAGTATTTTTGTTGCTGTAGAGGAATTTAGATTTTTGGGTCTTTTTCTTTGTGGTTTTGTTTTGGTTGGGGGGAGTTGGCAGAGGAAGAAGGAATGAAAAAGATAAAAATCAAAGTAAAATCTTTATAATGGCATCCACAAGGTTTTGAATGTGTTGTACAGACATTACATAAAGATTTGATGTGCGATGTTTTCAAAATTCTAAGATATGTGCAGGCAACGTTTACGCAATTTCCACTCGGCATGCAGATAATTGAGGGACAGCACGTGTTTACAAAAATATGTAGAGAATGTCAGTGACCGATGCCTTATTATTCTGTAGTATTTCTAGAAGGGAGGAATAAAATACCTGAGAACAAATCTCCTTGCTGAGAAAGAATAGGAGCAGGAAAATAGTTGGTTTCAGCAAACTTATAAAACACTGAGGAAGCAGAGAAGACTGATAGCAGAATTGAAAGGTTTAATAGTCAATCAGCTTTTACTACAAATTTTGTGTGGGGATAAAGGGAAGACATAAGTCCTTCTTTAAAAAACAAACAAATAAAACAAAGAAAAGCGCAGAACTCAGATAGTTTATTAATAATTTACCCTGATTCAATTTACTGCATGAATAGTTCTCCTTTCCCATTTAACAGCGTAGGAAGAAATAGTGGTGTTTGCAACACAGCTCAGGTCTGTCTTGCTCAAAAGCTTGCCTGTGTCATCAGATTGTATTTCTGCACCTCTGTTTTCCAGAACAATTCAGGCAGGTGCTCCACAGTTCAGAAAGACAGCAGGCCAATGATAGGTGTGTTCTCCTAAAGCAACTTCAAATTGAATGTAAACCATCCCCCCAGAAGTAATCCTGGTCTGGTAGCTTTCAAGACATACCATATGGGCATGTATATGGAAAATGAATTTTGGGTGTTTTCCATCTGGGGTGTCATAGGAATAATGCTACTTTAGTCTGTTTAATTGTACTTAACCTACTTAGATCACAGGAAGCTTTGACTTACACACCTGTAAATTTTTTAAACAATAGGAAGTGCTAAATTCATTAAACTCTTTTTTTTCTGGTCAAAGAGGTAGACAGCAGGTTTCATTACACATATTTTTACAGCAAACTAGACAGAAACAAGTTCTGTGTAAGTTCATTTGTGAAAACTTATAAAGTTAAATTGACTTTCAGTGATACTTAGGCTGCAAAGCCACTGAGATACCTTTCTGAATTTCACCTTATACCTCATTAAAAATAAAAAATGGCATTAAAATCTGTCAGACAGGAAATATAGACTTCTAATGACATCAAACATGACTTCATTGCTAGTTGGAGATCAATTTTTTTTCACAGCGCTACTAAAAACCAAAGACACATTTTACAACTCTTTAGTTTGAAGTGTCAAGACAAATTGAAGTTTATCTGTACTATATTTTTTAATGCTAAGTCTGATAATGAAATGGATCGCAGCATAACATATTGCAGTTTATTCAAAGACAGAACAGGTAAAAATCAGTATGTATTCTTGCCAGTGCCATCCAAATACATTGTATTATCATGTAGAACTGAAGTCAAAAGGCAGTGGATCCAAGCAATTGAAGAAAAAACCCCAAACTTTGCATTTGCTTATTCAAAAATTATTAAATCTTTTAAGAATTTGCAGTAGAATGAATGGTCAGTGTGAGCTCAATTAGAATGAGCTGCCCTTCTGACACCTCGCAATAAAGTTGATACAATAATTTAAATGAATAGTTAACTATGTGTGTGGGAGTAGACAGAGGACCACATACATCAAAAAAATCAGAATAGTCAAGAGTTTGGTATTTCAGAAATTCAATTTGCTTTGAAATTTCTTTACTGGTTCATTTGCTTTAGCTATGAGTAAGGGTTATCTGGTTCCTGAACCAAATGCTGATGAGCATTAAAAAAAAAAAAATAGGGACTTTCTTCTATAATCTAAGTAACCATCTCCTTCTCTGAAAGTAGAATTATAATAGACAATATATCTAACAAAGAGGCAGCAGTGCATGTGCAAAAAAAGAAGGAATTGCCCCCACATTCTTTACTATAGTTTATTTAATTCCTTCTTTGAATACAGTCTATACCCAGGCTCCATCTGATCTCTTCATGCTGTCTTATGGATACCAGTTCTTGTACCTGGTGATTTCATGGTTTGATCATGGGACAACTGAACATGCACAAAAGTTGTTTCCTTGTAACAGCACTCAGATGATGTACTGAGTGCTGATGCGCTGGCTTTGGGCAATGGTGGGTCCAGGTGGAAGTGGCTACACCTTCTCCTTGTAGAGGCCAGCCTTGTAGACTACCACACGGCCAACAGCTTGCTGGATAATCCAGAAGGCAAATGTGCATCAGCAGATCATTTTCAGACTATCCCAGGCACAGCAGAAGACTCAGCCATATATGGTCCAACACAGACATAGTTGATATCTGCGGTAAGTCACTGATTTCCACAGGGTTTTGGTCTCTTCACTCGTACAGCTTCTTAAATTGACACATTCTTTACAGATTAGTTATTAGTCTATAAAAATCAAATAAATCAGCTTCCCTTAAAAAAATATATCATTACTTACTTATTTCCTTTCAAGACATTAAATAGTTTCATAAACTCAGTGAACCTAAAACCCTAGAAGAGTTCAGTGTGAGTTCCAGGTATAAAAGAAATTCTGTCTTATGCTATGACTGGGTTTATGACACCCACATTACAAGTTCTTAGTTCATCAAAACAAATAAAATTATATATGTTACAGCTTTAATTCATATTAGCATTCTTGAGATTCTGTAAAGAAAAAAGTAACAGAAAATTTAACTCAGGGTAAATGCCATGGAAGATAGCATAATTTCACTGA